TTGCTGGAGGAGGATCAGTGTTTGTGGTCGAGCAATGGTTTGCAGAAAAAGTTCTGGACTGAGGCTTCGACATATTTGAGTTATCCTATTAAAGAGTTGTCAACTGCTGTGATTGGAGGTAAAACTCCATTGGAAGATAGGTTTGGTAGTGTCACTTTGGTTGAGGCTTCGATGAGGAAGCCAATTGACTCTCAGCAGGTGGAGAGTTTTGGACAGACCTTAGAGGTATCGCAGCGGGTGGAGAGTGATGCTACTCCACATTGGGTAAAGATTACTCCAGATCATACTGCATTATTTGGGATTCTAGCTGAGGTGACACAGCGTGGAAGTCATTTGGATTCGGATGCAGATGATGAGTTGGGTTTTGAATCGAGTACAGCTGGCAGACATAGTTTGGATATGGCCATTGGTTCGCCTCAGGTGGAGGTGTTTGAGGCCATTGGAGGTGTTATCAGCCGCAGAGTAGATGATATTGGAGAAGGGTTGCGAACTCTTGTCGGCTCAGTTTTGGGAAAACTTCGCCGAGGTGGAGAATTGTGATTGGTTGAAGCACGTGAGCAGGCCCCACGCGAGGTAAGCATGCGGACGAAGCCAACGGATGACAGCCGGGCAAATTTGCAACCGCGTGAGACACGTGAGCTGGGCAAGAGCTGGGCAAATTCCAATGATTGGGAATTTGTTTTTTCGCGTGAAGAGGAACAAGGCCCACCCGACTTCTTTAATGAGGCTATATAAATAAGTCGGAGTCCCTAGGTTTAGGTGTGGAAGGAGGTGTGCAGAAGCTTGTTTCTTTTTGCGGCTGTGTGCAGGTGCGAAGAAAATTGATTTTTCGGCCTGTGTTGTTTTCGGCAGAACTCGTTTTTGGGATTCGTGCAGTGAAAAGAAATCACAGATAGAGGAGAGCTTTTGAGAGAGATATTTGTGTGAGGGATTTGAGAGTTTGTTTGAGGGTTTAGATTGAGTGATTGTAAACCCTAGTTGTATTCTCTTCCCTCTAATAGTAGATCTCCCCTCCTTGCCCCGTGGACGTAGGCAGTTTGTCGAACCACGTAAAAATTGGTTTGTTTGAGTTTGTGGCCATTGTAATAGTTTTAGGATCCCTCGACGCGCAGTCCTAGAGCTGACGAGAGGAAGAGCAAATATCCCACTTTGATGGGATATTAGGCTTTCAGATTCTTGTTCCCTTTGAGAAACAAGAATTCTTATCAATCTTTCTCTCTTATTGTGCACCAGAAACTCTGCCGAAATTTCCGCTGCGCACAACAGAATGCTTGTTTCCGTTTAACAAACGAAGAAGAAGAAGAAGAAAGATGGAATGAATTGAAATTGAAAAGAAAGAATGAGAAGGTTAGGATTTATAGTGAAGAGAAAGGTAAAAGGAATTGGTTGTCTAGCTGTTGAGATAGCTGTTGAGGGATCTGTCAACACAATATACGCTTTTATTAAGGCAAAAACTGGATTCTAAGTTTCCCATCTTCTTCTTTCTAATATTAGTGACCATTTGCAGCTATCTTCAAAGGAACAGAAATATTACTAAATATGGACTTTGTATCAAAGGTTTTGATTTTTGTGCAACAGTTCGTAACATTTGAATTTTACATTAGGTGGCTGGTTACCTGCTAGTGTTTGTGTATATTATCTTGAGGTGTTTTCTTTCATTTTTACCTCTCAAATCATTGATTTTAACACAAGGCCTCCTAACTATCATAATTTTATTTATCGTCTATCATTTGTGCTTGATGTTTCTACCTGTCGGTTGACAATTTGTGGAAGTAAACAGCACCTTGTATGTTCCTGAGAATAGAGGAGATAAAAAACATGGTTAATTCAGCTTCTTGCAAGATCTTTTCTAGTAAATTTGTTTGCAAGAGGAACTCACTCCAAAGGAGTCATAGAATCTCCCTAGGTATTATATATCAAGTGTAATATGAGAAAGAAAAGCATCATAAGATACTACCACACATTCTGTCACAACGAAACCTGATGATCTCAATCTCACATTAGTCAAATCTTTATCTTCAAATCTTAATATTGGAGGAGTAACATGAATGCCGACCTTCAAGATCCTAGCATTATAATTTGAAGATAAAGAGTACATAACATGCGGAGGAATTGAAATGCTTGGCGAATCCCATAATCAATTGAGGAAACAATGCAAATAATAATTTGACTTCAATGGAAACTAGTAGAGTAAAATATTTGATCAATACAACAGTTTATCTATTGATAAGTAGATCCTCAGAAAAATGAGACGTGAAGAGAGGTAACTCTAAATATTTTTAAAACAAGTCCATGCAACTTCTTTTTTTTTCCTTTTACCTCCTTTGCTGGAATTTAAGAAAAAGATTTGTTGCGGTTTGTGAAAAAAGAGCCAAATTGCATCATCAGTAAATCGCAGTTAGGTGCTGGGCTCCAATAATATACTACATTGCACAATCATGAATATTCATAAACTAGCTACGCCACATTTATTATTTCAAATATTGTCTTCTTGTGACTCCAAAGATAACAAACATTTTCATAAATTAGAATCATTAACAAATATTTCAAATAACAGAATACAGCATAATTGATGGAACAAAAGGCTTGAACTCAAAGCAATTACGGTATGGGTAGATTACCTGAAAACCTCATGTAGTTTCCCTTTAAAGACAAAACAAATATCCTCGATCTTTCTCCTTTTTCATTTTTCCCAATGGAGTGATAAAAGGAAACATATATAGAAAAATTAATAGAAATCTTGTGACCGTATAAATGAGCTTATTGAAACTTCAAGGAAATCTTGTGACTGTATAAATGAGCTTATTGAAACGTCAAGGCTATAGAGGAATATGTTGGATACTGTTAAAACCTGGAAAATAAACCAAACGTTTGTTCTCCTGTCAAATGTGATATACATCTATAAAGTATATACATCAAGGTTCTTATCCTTGTAGTATACTGAAAACTACCTACTAAAAATAACTAGCAACAATGAGGGTATACAGAAGAATCATAATAGATCTTAAGACCGTGTAAATAAGCTTATTGAAACTGAAAGGCTACAGAGGAGTATGTCTGGAAACTTAAAAAAAATTTGTTCCGTTATTAAATTAAAAATACCCAACATGGTATTTATGTATAAGGGATAGATATCGAGATTTTTTTTTTTTCGTTGTAACCTAGTGAAAAGTATCTATTAAAAAAACTACAAACGGTGAACGTACATGGAAGAATTGGGAGAACTCATATCACCATATAAATAAACTTAGTAAAACTGAAAGGGCTATAAAGAAATAAGCCTGACATCGATACAACCGGAAAAGTTAACCAAAAACTTTGCTCTAATACTGTCAAATAAAATAGAACAATATTGCAGAGAGGATAAGATATCAAGTTTAGCATAGTGAAAACTGATCTATTACAAAGCAGTAGATAAGGAAACTATACATTATATGTCACAAAAAGATATGAGAGTTGCTAGATTTATACGTGAGCATACACAAACATATACATAAACACATAAACAGTAACAAGTTAGGAAGTATGTGAATATAACCAGTCAATTGATTAGTTGAATAGTTTACAGTTAAATTATAACCAAAAAGAATGAAATGGTTTATAAATTTCCTAGAAGAGGAGTATAATTACTGTTTGTATACAAAATATGATCTCATCAACCCGAAATTTATTCTCATAGTTGTTTGTAACAATGCACACTGAAGCAAGAAAGAAAGTAGTTACACTTTCAGCATGAAATGCCTAAAAAGGGATTTAGATCGTCTCCAATTGTAACCATCTAATAATGTCTAGACAATTATTGCTAGAATTTCTAATAAAATCAAGAATGAAAAATATGTGAATTTTGGTTAGGGGACTCCTTTATCTAAAAGAGAACCCGAGTTCTAGCCCTCACAGGATCAGGAGGCCTCAACCCTTTTAATAAAATATTAAAAATCAGAGCTCATCTCATATACATCCCAATTCAAAGAAAGCCAGTAAGGATATTAAAATCTGGGACCATTGAGCAGGGAGCAAACCCACCCAACCATCTTGGCAGACCCTATATATAGTTGAGATATCAATTTTTAGTATATATAATTGAGATATGCTATTATTGTTAGTATTCAACATAATGTCAATAGGAATATTCAAATCAGCCCACCAAGTTGAAAGCATAATGAAAATTATTGGAAAACTTTTACATTGCTCTATTTGGAAACCAACATTGTTAAATTAAGGCGTAAAAAATTCCAATAAGAGAGAATTGGAGGGTGATTATGCAAATATCAAGATTTGAGGACAAATTTGCCACTACGGACGATTTGAGCGGTATAGATGCAAAAAACCCTAAGCATTGTAATTAAATTCACATTTCATCAAACCTATGTATAAAAAAAAGAGTAAAAAAAAGTACAAACTAAATTGAAAAAAGTTTTAAATGTTCTACAAGAAACATACATTTTTTAAAAAAAGTTTGACAAGGGAACTTCCCCCACGATCCTTCAGATTATTAGTATCAAACCCCAAACATGGTAAAAGGTGCTCTATAAAAGAGCTAAACCTGAGACTTTGATGGACTACTTATAAGCTTACCAACTCGGTAGGACCCTCTTTTAGTTAAAAAAAAAAACGCACACACTTTTAAATGAGCCCTTATTCTACTTGCCCCAGCTTATGGAATGGTCAGGTCCGTACGCTCTGATCAATTCTTGGGCCAGCCCAT